ATTCCTGCAATCACTCCACAGAGATGGGAAATTGAGATGAACTTGACCCACTGATTTGTGTTCCTCCTTTTTTTGGAATGGGATCTCTCTTGTGCTCAGATCTTTACATGGTTTTAAACTTAGAAAAAGATATAATTTTACAAAGATTTGCATTGTATGTAACCAATATGCCACCAAAATGTGCAACATATCAGTAAATGGAAGAACTGCAAGAATAGAAAGCTTCTCTCCAGACCAAAACTGGACTATCTTATAGGGCTATGTGAAGCTTTAGTCCTTGATTCAATTTGGTTGAGATTCCGCCCAGTTTGGTGGCTGAGTCTCCGAATCTGAACTGAATCAGAGGACAGTTTAATCTCTCCGAATTGAATTGGAACCCTCTGAATTGATTCGGGGAGATTCAGAAAGATTCAGCGATTTGGACACAGACACAGCTTTAAATGTTTTTTCTACATACCTCAAGGTACCAGGCAGCTCGTGACTGCTGAGATACTGGGGCACATGGAGTGTCCCACAGGACTGTGGGGGGCTCCCCAGCACGCTTGGCAGCAGACCCAGAAGTGGACCAGAAGCACTTCCAGTCCATTTCCAGGTCTGCCAGACAGCATGCGGGGGGCCCTCCTGGATCTGGGGGGACACCAGGCCCCCCCCATAGCCGATCACCGAGCCGCGGGGGGCCCAGCACACTCTCCGGCTGACCTGGAAGTGGACCGGAAGTACTTCCGGTCCACTTCCAGTTTCACCGCCAAGAACGCAGAGGCCCCACCCGTGCTTCTGTGTGATGCTCCATCCACCCCACTATCTCAGTGTTCACGAGCCATACCCAGTACCTTGAGGTATGTAGAAAAAACATTTAAAGCTGTGTCTATGTCCGAATCACTGATTCTCCGAATCAGCATCAAATTTTCAGATTCGGATTTGGCTGAATCGAATTGGGGACAGTGATCTGAATCAACGAATCAAATCACTGTCCCCAATTAGGGCTGAATCCAAATCAGATAGGGACCATTTTGCACACCTCTATCTTACTCTCTTGTTTTTCCCTGCAATACTTTATCTTGCCCCTTCCACTCTGTCTTGTTCAAGCATCTGTTGTTCAGCAGATCTGCCTGTCTTAGCACCATTAATTCTTTCTGGCTTACTGTTGCATATTGTTTGTTACTTTGCCTGCTAATGACTCCGTTACTGTTTGGGACGTTAATTTCTCCTGTTGTATTGACCCCAAACCTCGATACCTTATTTCTTGCCCCTTTCTATGCCTTTGTCATCTATAACTTTCTGACTTTCTAGGCAGAAGATGGGGCAGGGTGGCATCTAACTCATTCAGAGGGGCATTAGCTTTTAAAGGCTATACCTTTGTCAAAAGCTTTTCTCTCTTTTCCACTTAATTGTGCCTTCCAAGCTTGACACGTCCTTTATTGAAGTTGCTGCAAATAGTAGTCACCTTCCAATTAAGCTAAACTAGGGAGCAATTTAATGCTCTTCTGGTTAGTGATAATTGAAATAGTGGAAAATCACTGCTCGAGGATAAAACTGCATACATGCCTGAGCCATACAGTTGCATAGGTCTAGTAGCAAAGGCAAGGAAGACAGCAAGGAAATCCCAGAAATATCTAAAGGAACACTTTTAGCATAACTCTGAGAAGAATCTGAGAAGCGAGGTTTTGGATAGAATATTGGATGGAAAGTGGCTTGCAATTACGAGCACGCGCGTGCACACAAAATGTTTCCTGGCGTTTGTTTTTTATTCTTGCTATAGATTGCATCAAGTAGATACTTGATTTGCCTATCAATCTTTCCCAATGTAGACAACCTGTAAGAGCTGTGTGGGTCAAAGTGGTAGCATTAGATACAGAACAGGCATCTTCCTGTTTTTGAAAACTCTGACCCCAGCAGAATGATGAAATAGACTCATTATGGCAACATGGAAAAACTACATGCCCCATAATTCCTAGGTTCTGAGGGCTGGGGCCAGAAATGCTTTCAGTCCTTTCAAGTGACTGTTACTGGGAAACGAAGAAAGAAAAACACTTGCCATGAAGTGGACACTGAATGTTTCTTTGCAGAGGTAAAAGTGATTAGCTCCCTTTTTTAAATGTATAAGTATATATAAATAATTATGTATTTTGCAAAAAGTAAAGGGGCTTTTCTGGATTTTTTTTCTTTCTATGGGATAAACTTCTTTGAATAAAGTATGTATGGAAAAAATAATGGACAGAAACTGGTGCTTCAGTGCAACCCATGTTTCAGAAAATATTTAAACTGGTTAACTGGGGGGGGGGGGGGGGGCTTTTTTTACGCCGAAAAGGACTTTATAGAAAAAAATTTGAAGGGGTTGGGGGGGGTTTGGGGGGGGGGGGAGGGGTCTGCCTTTTGTACACCAGAAGTTAGTAGTAATGGGTTGCTAATTGTTTAACAGCATCTGCTTACAGGCTGTAAGACTAACCATGTTTTAAAACAATCTTGGAAATTATTGTATTGATTTGTGCTATATGTTTTGTACTAACTTCCTTACCACAGCTCAGTATAGTTGTTTGGTTCTGTCTTTCAGATGGATGTGTCTCCCTTTCTTGTTTCTCTGCAGTGAAGTCTACTTCCTTTATTCCTTTTTGTAAAGAATGTGGTCGCTCAAGTCTTACAACTGTGAGCAATGTGGAAATGATTTCATCAGCCGTACAGCCTTGTACGGCTGATGAAAGCTAAGCTAAGCACCTTGGAAAAATTAATTGTGAAAAATGTGGTAAAGAAGTTTTAAAAGAGATGCTTCAGAATCATGAAGAGGTGAGGTTGTTTGGCCCTGATTCTTTTTTCTCCTAGCACACATTTCATTCATTTCCTATCTCTTTCCTTTTGCATATATTAACTTTTGAATTAAAGTTTATATTGGAACTGAGAGTACATCTTACAAAAGAAATATATATGTTTAAATACATATGAAACCTGAAAGTTTGACTGTACTATAGGAATAAAAATTTGTGTTAGTAGACTGATCGAGAAAATAACTGAAGAGTTTTCTTTTATTATCTCTAGTATTGTGGACTCAGGACGTGCAAAGGATACTCTAGTTTTTGTAAGTCCTCTTCTGGATGTTGTACTTGTATCACTCCAAAGTCAAACATTATGGTGATTTAGTTTGAAGCATTAGCATAGATGAACTGTAGCACACATGGATAGGAAACTCTATCACACTTCATATAAAAACTATAAAGGAAGTTGAAGAAAACTTCTTGGCCTAATGAAAGTTCTGTCAGAATCAGACTTGACATAGAAGAATCTTTACTCTGGCATTTATGGGAACTCTTACAGGAAAAAATGTACAGTATGTTTTTTGTTAGAAGACACTTAGAAAATAACAATTTTATTGTTTATCCCTTACCTGCCATTAGCTCCTTTGAATCTTTATTCATCTGATTTGTCAAGTTTCCAAAAATGGAATGCAGCTCTATGTTCTAGACCAACTGACTGCAGCTCTCCACCAAGAAAGTGTTGCTTTTATTTACTGTAGTCACTATTAAAAAGTCAACATTCAGCTTGCCTCTTAATCATTGCCTCTTGCATATTTCCTGGATCATCACAGTTGCATCATCACTCCAATACTATTGAAGCTATTGCTGTTTTATTATTACTGCTATCAGTAATCCTTTGCAGGCACATCTACATGTGCAGTTGACATACAGCAATAAACTCTGGCATATTGCGTCCAAGTTTATTTCTCCCAGGCCCCGTGTTCGAACATGCAAATACCACAGGGGAAACCTATAGTATCACAAATATTTCAGTATAGCAGCCTGGCACATGGACCTAATATAAATACTTCGTAAGGCATCTCAGGAATCCCTTGAGATGAATGTGACCCATAAAGCTATATTTAATAATCCTGAGAAACCCAGAAAAAAATCTCTTTTTGCTTGTACACACTGATGTTCTTATTGACTATTACATCCAGTATAAGCTTTTATTTATGTTTGTCTGTCACTTGGTCTCTCATTCTATGTGTTTAATAGCTTTTGCGTATACTTGCTAGAGAACAAAGTTACATTAAAATATCTTTGAAAGTAAACCACCACAAAGAAGATAAGAATAGTATTTTCATGTTCTTAAAACCACATGTGGATTCAGTCTCTTTTCTCTGAAGAAGTTCATTTATTAAAGTAGTCTAGTTAAATGTTGAGAGCATGCTCATGATGATGTATTTTGAGTTCCAAGCAATTTTTGTATAACGAATGTCCATAATTTATTTACTGATATAAGAGGTATTTGGAGAATTCTGTTAAAGGATGGAACTAATTCCTAATTTTATTGAAAATTGTAGCAAGCTCCAAGATGGTCTTTAAAATGAAGTTATTGAAACTATTGCTGGAGGCAAGGATTCAGGTGTATGATACCTAAAAGATCATCTAAGTCCATCCCAAACATAGAGTTACCCCAATAAAAGATGTCACCCACAAAAATCCTTGCCTCTTGCATATTTCCTGGATCATCACAGTTGCATCTTCAGTCTGGTACTATTGAAGCTATTGCTGTTTTATTGTTACTACTATCAGTAATCCTCTGCCAGCATGTCTACATGTGCAGTTAACCTGCAGCAATAAACTCTGACATATTGCGTCCAAGATTATTTCTCCCAGGCACTGTGTTTGAACATGCACCCTGGACTGCAACATGTTGAGCCGGGTCAAAGCAACCCTGGAAGGCCGGGGAGCAGGGAGGGTCAACCCCCAATCCTGGGGCTGCTCCGACCTAGCTCAGTGTGCTATGAAGAGGCTGCTGGGCCACAAGGATGATAGAGTATGGGGCTAGCCAGCAGGTAGCCACTGCACTGAAGCACCCTCGTGCCCCAGTCAGCACTGTCAGTGTCTACACATGGGGTGCTACGCAGTAAATAACTCTGCCATAGGATAGTACTTGTATTAAAGTACAAGTATTTGTATTCAGTACAGGTACTACTATTAGTACTTGTACTAAATACAAGTACTATCTAACGGTGGAGTTTATTTGTTTACTGCAGCCTAATAGGATCACATGAGCAGAGGTAGAGACTTTACTGCAGAGCTAATTAGGCAGCTCTGCAATTAATGTCTCATGTAGATGCGCCCCGTGTGCTTTCTATAGTCTCCTGTCTACCCTCCCTCTTCATGCTGTGCTTTAAAATGAAAATTTTGCCTTGAATTGTGCTCCTGAAGGTACTTCCAACTCAATGTACATCTTTGCTACATCTTTGCTTTAACAGGTGAACCATGAAAGGACAACCAGTGAGAAACCAGTGTGTTGCTGGGATGTGCCTCAGAAAAGGGAAGCAAAATTTGTGGCCAGAGAGGTGTCAACCTCCTGTAGGATGTGCCGAAGGCAGTTTGGAACAATCCACAGTAGAGAGCACCATGAGGAACAAGATCATCACTTCACAGCCAGCAAAAAAGGTACCACTGTTGCTCAGAACAAGCAGACTGTTCTGTTGTACAGATAGCCATCTGAGTAGGGCACTGATGAATAAGCCTCAAACTCTTCCTTTAAAGAGACCTTTCCCATAATAATTCTTTTGTCTTGACTACTCATCAACTTAAATCAGCTTCTTTTTTGACAGACTCAGTTTGATGGGGGAGTTGCCTGTTTTCCATGTGAGGTAGAGTCAGTAGGAATTAAAGCTCTCAACATGTCTTCTGATCAGATAGTCTGCCATTAGTGATTTCATAAGAAAGCGATTAGGAATAATCCTCCTGGTGAGGATCATAATTGCAGTATTATTTTTGGTGGTGTCTGGATAAGTTATGGAATATAATACTATTTGTTTTGAGAATGTCTAAAGGGATAGGCACAGATATTTTTGTATAAACAAAGGGATATTAAGACCAATGTTCCAGAAGTAAATACATTTATACAAAAGTATGAAAAAAGTATATTGAAAATCTACATCTTTGTTAGTTTATGTTCATTGATGAGATTGCGTTTGGACCCGTCTTCCCTCTTCTAACTTGCTTGTTGTTTTAAGCACTGACTGGGGTATAGGCAAGAAATAACTTGTGTATTAAGTTCATAATCCATGGTTTGTACTTCTCTGGTTTATGAAAGTTCATTTGGAGTTCTTTATTTCGTGTTTGGTCAAGTTGTTGACATTCTTTACATACTTGCAGAGAGTTCATATGTGAGGTTTTAATTTAAAGCCTTTTAAAAAAACTGAATAGATGAGCTTGCCTAAGATACCATCAGAAAAGACACCCTACAGTTTAGAACATTTTGGGCATAAAGATGAGTCATGCTGTGTGCTGGGAGCTCCCTCGCCCCTGCCCCCGGGCCGCCACCACAGCCACTACTGCACTCCGCTTCCAGCGGTGGGTCACGGCAAAAAAAGGTTGGGAACCACTGTAATATGTGTATCAGGTTATTCCATTTTATCCTGTGCAAATGGGTTCCTAAACATCTTTGAGGGAGCAAACATCGAGTGCAAGGATTTCCAGTGCCTGAACACACTTGTGCAAATAAGCAAAACATTC